TCCTCCCTGAGGTGAGGCAAGGCAGGGATGGAGGCTGGGGCAGGCTCCGCCAGCTCCGGGGAAGTGCTCCACTCCCTGGCCCTGATGCGGGGTAGTGGAGCACTTCTGCAGAGCTGAGGAGCCCGTGCCACACTTTTAGTTGTACACAGCCGTGCACGTGTGCACCTTAGAGGGAACCTTGGCCTACAACCTCTTTCCAGCCTGTGATTTCTTAAAATATATAATGCAACAGAGGAAGGGGAGAAGGAGTGGTAGCATACCTGAGGAGAAGACATACTTGTAGCTTGATATTTTTGGGTGTAACATCTGAATGCATTGTCCCCTGTGCTACTGGTCATTGTCCTAATAGATGGGCAAACCTCAGTCCCTTTGGAAAATTCCTGTGTGGGGCAGTAAAATTCCATGGGGGTTATTAAGAAGCTTCCTTATACACACTCTGGCATATATATTGGATGTTCATGACAACCCCCCCACTTCCCTTGTGTGTGCTAGTGCATTTGGCACTTGCCTAGTAAGTCCTATTTCTATGCAGTTAATATAGAACATTTGTAACACGTCTTATTTGTAGAAAAATGGGGGAGGGAGAAGGGAAAAGAAAATGATGCTGGAACTTGGAGTTCAGACTGAGAGCATTTGTCCTTGACCTGCTGTAAAGATGACGAAACACTGTTTAAAGCTCCCGTACTTTAAGTGGGCTACTGACTGTGTGTAGTGAGGTTCAGCATGATATGGCTCAGCAAATGGCTGGGCTAGGCAGCTGCACTGGATTGGTCCATAGAGGTGGCAAGATGTCTAAAGCCCATTTTACAATGTGTAGTCTCACCAGGCAAAGCGGCTGAATCAGAGCTGAGTGGAGCCACAGCCAGAAAATGTCACCCTCTTCAGTCCAGGCCTGAACCTCTCAGTGCAGCTAAGCTTCAGAAAGAAACAAAAGTAGTCAGCCTGAGAAACAGGCACCAGCAAGGTGCAGGGAGGGGATAGGGACAGGGATGGGGGGATTCAGCCCTGCAGTGCTGCTCCAGTACAAAGTCCAAGTGGGGACAGCTTATGACTCATCAGTCTGGGGCAGCTAGGGACCACATCAGACCATGGAGCAGGATCAAGCAACACCCAGAGCTGCTCTCACTTTCATTCTCTGAGTGCTTATTAGGTGCTATGCTGTGCTGTGCCCTCTGCATCCCACCATGAGTCCAAGGTAGGTGAGGAGCTGCTGCATGCAGGGTTGACAGGAGCAGAGATTGCACAGTGATAGCTGAATGTAGCTTCTCCGCAGTGCTAGCGCACACTTTGGTCCCTATGTGCAGATGAGTGTTTAATGGCAGGCTGGGCACCATATCTCTCTCATTCATTGCATACCTTAGCAGCTCCTGCCACCAAGCCCGTTACCACTCACTGTTGTTAGTCAAAGCAGCACTGCAGTGTAGATTTTGGTAGAGATTCAGTGCAACAAAGATAGTCTGAAATGAGGAGCTCCAGCAGCCAGAAGGGGAGGCAGCACAGCCTCACTCCCAGGTGTCACTTGCTGCTTGGTAATGACTAAGGAAGCCCCAAGAGGCCCTATGTGTCATGTCATGGAGCTGTGAGTCCCTTGTCATGTTTTAAATGGATGCAAGGAGGCAGTGCCCTCTGCTGGTCTGGTGAAAATTATCAGTGACAGGTTGATTGGGCTGCCAATACCCAGGCAGGTAGAGAAGGAAATGCCTGAAAGACAGAAAAGAGAAGATTATTTCTTCTCTTTTTCAACATGATGAATCATGGTTATAGAAACAGAGCAATGTTAATTTTGGACCATAAACTCTCCCCCTTCCACCAGGCAGCTGTTGGGTATGTCTGAATTTTTTACAAGGTTTCAACTCTAGACAAAAAGATTCTTTATCAAAACACAGAGCTAGTTATACACTCTGCCTTCCTATCTAGCCCAGTCTGTTGAAGAGTCATGAAATTTGGATGTGATTAAAGAAGACGCTGATTAAGAAGCTAGCCTGTCACCATGTCAGTGGCCTGTTCGAGGGGAGGAAAGCAGTGCTGTCACATGGTGTCTGCTAGAGCCAATTTACAAACCTAATCACTTCTCAATGTAACCAGGCTGCCAGTTCCTGAATGAGGATGACAGGGGAGCACAAAGCTGTGGGGACTTTTAAAGAATATAAATGTATAGCAATAGACATAAGATCTGTTTCTGCTCTTAACTAACAAGGGAGCTAAGACTCAGAGCTGGAATTGTAATGCAAGCAATTCTAAGGGGAGAGAAGCCTCCTGAGAGAGGCTCAAACTGAGGGTATTAAAAAAACCAGGATGGCACTGTACCAACATGGAAGCAAGGCAGAATGAGGAGAGGGAATCAGCCTGGTGGAGCTGCCAGTTGAAGCAACAGGCGCTGAGAGCCAATGGAACAGTAGCATAACTAAAGGGGGTAGGGGCAATCAGGACACTCCATCTAGGCACCAAATTGGGGGGATGAGAGGGGAGGAGGTGAAAAAATATCGACTGCTGAGGTGCTACCCCATGTGCCACCACTGCCCAGGGTGTACAACTGCGCAGCTACTCTTCTGCAAGGGAAGCAGCAAAATCTGTCATGTAGGAAACAAGATTGGCAGTCAGAGCTGTGTGTCTGAAGTGCATATGGAGCAGGTAGTTTTGCCTTTCATAAATGTGTAGGTTTGGAAGGGATCTCAGCTATGCCAACCTCCTGCACAGATCCAGGATGCACTAAATCAGTGGTGTTCAACCTCCAGCCCATGGAACCATGTCATCCAGCCTGCAGGGCTCCCCCTGGGAATAGAAGTTTACTAAAGCGGGAGTGCTGGCAATTAATGCTGCCACTGTTCTCCCACCAACAAATTTCCAAGCCCCATGGCTGGATGACTTGGCCCTGCATTCCCGATTGGGCTCCCCACATGGAGGAGGGGTGGCATGCCCCATGAGGCACTTTGAGGGTCAGTGCTGGGGTGGTGGGCTCAATCCAGAAAGTGCAGGGCTAAAGGCAGCAGGCCCAATCCAGCAGGTGAAGCGGCCAGTTTGGGCAGCAGACCTAATCCACTATGCTTGCAACTGGAGTTGGGGCTAGGGTGGTGGCCCAGATCTGGCATGGGGCGGCGGGGGCAGGGCCATGTGCTGTATTACACCAAGACACCAACTCCACACTGGATTGGGCCCATGGACCAATCCCAAGTCCCAGATTCAGCTTGCAGACCAACCACAAAATAAACTACTCATCCAGCTCATGGCCTAGAAAGGTGGGGCACCGCTACACTAAACCATCCTAGACAGGGAACCCTCCAGCATGCAGTTTAAGTGCCTTGCCTCTGTGGCCAAGTTGAATAGTTGCTATTCTTCTTTATGAAAGCCTTTGAAATATTTTAAAACTGCTAGCATGCCCCCTCTTGATCCCCATTTATCCAGACCAGACATTTCCTCAGCCTTTCCTCATACAGCTTGTATCCCAATGCTTTATCACCTTTTGTCGCTCACTGCAATAACATCTAGTTTCTCAGCATCCTTCTTTAAATGTGGAGCCCAGACCTACACACAGTGCTCCAGCTGGGACCTAAGTAGCACCAAGCAGAGTGATGCTATCACGTCCCTAGGTCTTGTATGCTACTCCTGACAGCAGGGGTGTCAAAGACATGGTCTGTGGGTCAGATCCAGCCCTCAGAGACCTAGCTTCCAGCCCCTGATGCTGCCTGTGGTCTTGGAGTTGACACACTCTGAGCTCATGTGTCTACATCCCAGAGTGTCCAGCATAGGAGCCACAGTCCCAGAGCAGGCAATGCTGTTGAGGAGCAGACAGTGCATGCAGTGCAGTCCTAGAGGGACTGGCACAGTCCTGGAGCAGTTGGTCTAGGTGGTGCAGTTCCAGAGCAGCTGGCCCAGGCTCTGTGATGTGTACAACACCCAGGCCAGCTGCTCTGGGATGCATGCTGGATCTGGCATGCGGGGTTGACCTGTGGGCGCAATCCAGCCTCATGCTACTTGTCCAGCCCGTATGGCTAGATGGGCTTGTTTCACCTGACTTATAGTAGTGTAGCTTAATGTTTTTTTGGCAGCCTCAAATTGCTGATTTTGATCTCCTCTGAAGCCATTTGCCTCAATGTGCCTCTGCTTTCTCATAAAAAAATAGTGTGTATTGCAAATTTTAAGCCCAGCTGGAGCTGATCAACAGAATCTATTTCATGAGGCCTACTCCACTGACTGCTCATGGCTAAAAGGGGCACCCTCTTCATGTGAAAATGTGGTTTTATGGTCCATAGATCTGTTTGTGGGGAATGAGTGGGTGGGGGGAAGAGCAAAGGGGAGATGGATGAAGCCTCAAGTCAAAAGTGAATGGTGATTTTGGATGTTTGACTTGAGATGTTTGACTTTGAGAAAGTCAAGAGCTTTCAAAAAGTCAGGCTCTTTTAACGTGCTTCATTAAAATTGGACATTAGTGACTTTAAAAATTCAAACTGTATACAGAGAGTTAATCCTTTGTATAGAAGAAAAGGTGAATTGATTATGTACTACAAGTTCCTGTAGAGCCTGGTGCTGTAATGTGCTTGAAAGCAAAGATTGATAAAAGTTTATTATCTTGAACTAAAAAAATCTAAATTAGCAAAACAAATCCAGGATGTAAAGAGGGACTCATATCAATGGAACCATTTGGACATTATTGGGCCAACAACTAGGGGCCAAAGTAATTTGTAAAGGATATGAACCCTTCAAAATCTCTAGCAGTTACAGTACAACAAACTGCATAGCTGAGCAGAAATAGTTTATTGAAGAAATCTAGTTTTCTGATGCAGCCAGAATGATGACACTCATTTGATTCAAATATCCCCTTGCTGCCAAACCCAGAGAACATGACTCCTCTTTATTCAGCCCATTACCACAACTTTCATAATTCATGCTTTACTTCCACACACAATGCTAAAACCGTCTGTTTATTGTCATCTCAGCTATTGTCATAACCCACTAAATAGCAACAACTTAAGCAGCAATTTAAGCAATCTCTGCTGAGTAAATTTATTGCTATTACAATTATCTAATGTTATCCCAAGATCAAATCAGCTGGCAGATGATTACTGGCAAAGTTATATCCCTTGTTGAAGAAATCTATGTAAAGATACATAACAGTAAAGAACTGAATGTTTTTTTTTTCCTAATAACTGTCAGGAGCTTGCTGAAGCCTGGGAACTTAAGGTACTGTCAAAGCCTGAAAGCAGCTTACCTAGGGAATTAGTGCCACATGTACAATTTGTCTCCTAGCTAAGTGGTACAGGGTGCATGAGTTCCTACCACATTGTGCAACTTTTTGGGTGTGCTTTTGAGATGCCTGAAAGCCAAAAACCAGGAGGGTCAGAGGGTGGGTGATGTGCTTGTGTGCTACCACCAGGGCCAGTGCCTTGATGCTGCCCAGTTTTTCCTGTACTGTAATACAGCATCTCCTCCCTTTGGCAGAAGGCTGGAGTCCACTCATAGCATGTGAACAAGTACTTCATTGCCTAGGAAAGCTATTTCTTTGAATCAGTTAATGTCAAAGCCGGTGATTTTCAACCCTGGGAGGCCCCAACAGCCTCTGAAGGAAGAGAGGAGATAAGCAAGATAAGCACAGGCTCCAGTGAAGAGCAGTGAGGAGAAGTGCAGGCTCTTCCCTTCCAGCCACTCCTCTTCATACTATTCACTGCAGTGCAGGTTCTTCCCTACCAGCTGCTTTTCCTTCTTCCCAGCAGGTAAGCACTACGATAAATAAGTTAGTCCCACTCAATTCAAAAGAGTTATGGAGGACTACCACCTTGAGTCTAAAAAGGTTGAGAACCACTACCCTAAGTTGCCACCCTGCCTTCTGCCTGACTTCAGACTCATGCAACTAACAACCTCTCCCCCCTTCTGCACACTAGTGCAGCATTGTAACATGACATCATTTGAAGGGCTTTTGCTCCATTTCTCATGTGTGACACTAATTAAACATCACGGCTGGATGTTATGGAAGG